GGGTTGACCAGTTAATAGCTCACACAGAAGAATACCGAAGCTGTAAACATCACTTTTCTTATTAAAGTTTCCTGATGCTCGAAATCTGCTTACAGAATATAATGATAATTATTCTAGGAGAACAAACACTGTGAGAGAATATTAACATTAAGTTTGAATACGTACTCAGGATCAATGTATCCGGGCGTGCCTGCAGGATCAGTTATGACATGCGAGTCTCCTTCGGTTGCGAAGGCTTTGGACAGCCCGAAATCAGCAATCTTGGCTTGAAGGTTTTCAGTTAATAAGATGTTGGATGATTTCAAATCTCTATGGACTATTGGCGGCCTGCAACCATTATGCAGATATTCCAAACCTGCGAGTTCGATAATGCCAGTTAATCCAACAAAGTTTGCAGAACAAAAATGAAGAAAAAATGACCCAGGCACTAGAGTCAGACCTTGTGCTGCGTCTACTGCAATTTGCAGCCTTGCCCTCCAATTCAACATATTTGTGCTATTTTCTGCAACCATAAAAACACTCTAATATCATACACGTGCTATTTTCTACAGCCACAAAAACACACTAATATCATAAATTAAACAATAAAGTTTGCAATGTGATCATGAATACAACAGGAATTATGTTTCATTAGATATAGAAGTTCATCAATAGTATTAGATAATTATAAAAAAATCATCTTAATCTAAAAATTTAAATTTTTGAGTGAGATTCTAAGATATGATTTAAATTATTCTTTAACATACTTTACTTATACAGACCTATATTATCTTGTTCTTAATTTTTATAAAATAAAATAAGAGTTGTGAGATTTGAACTTGTGATCACTTCATTATTAAAATTCTAATACCATGTCAAACAATCATTTCAATCTAAAAGTTAAAATTATTAGGTAAAATTTCAAGATATGATTCATATTATTCTTTAATAATAATAAATTCATATAAATCTTAGTGAGAGTTCTATCTATAAACTAGTTAGTGTCCCAAAAAAATTGAAGAATTCTATATTTCAGAGAGTAATTCTATAAATACCTAAAAATTGATCCTTCAAGTTCCCATTTGCCATGTATTCATAAACAAGTGCCATATTTTCTTGCTCATTACAATAACCAACGAGGGACACCAAGTTTCTGTGATGAACAATAATCAATAGTTTGACCTGCATTTGGAAACACTACTCTGTCATAGCTGAAAGAAAATATTTGGTGCACCTCTCTTGTCCTCTACAGGAAAGGATTTGTTACCTCCGCTAGAAATTCTTTATAACCTTGCCTTGAGGATTGAGATAACAATTTGACAGCAACTTGACGACCATCTTGCAAGTTTCCAAGATATACTTTTCCAAATCCTCCTTCTCCAATAATGGTTTGGAAATTATTGGTAATGCTAACTATTTCAGTGTATGTAAATTGTTGATTCTTTGATTTCAGTGAGGATAAGCCCACCGAGGAAGATAATGACACATTCAATCTCCCTGCAAAGGAAAATTTTGTTTTTTTTTTGTTTGATAAAGCGATAAATATTCCAATATTTTAACAGAGATACTAAAGTATGAAACTATATATGTCATCATATTTACATGTCAAAACTATGTTATTGCTTACTGATCTCATGCTGAATCGTATTCTCATCTGCTAAGTTGCAGGAAAGAAATGAGGTATTGGGGGTGGTATCCAGATTAGAATTATCATATGATAGGTAATATAAAAGTTATTGGGTGCACAGAATATATATGTATATATATTCAAAATGAATAAAAAAATTAAAGTGCTTACATATAAGATAGACTCATAGAATAATATTCTACGAGGCTTTTAAGTTGAAGTCAGTGTATGATCATATATGTAAGCTATCGAATGTATAGATCATCAATGATTTCACAAAAAAGCACACGGCTTCTTCTTAGCCAAAATTACTCTATGTTATTCTAGGATTTAGTTAACACCACTCAAAAGAGAGGAAAGAATACAAAGAAGATAAGTGAAAGAGAAACAATTCACCTATTTTGAACCTCCAGAAGATAGTTATAATGTTAAGGAGGAGGAGCGCCGAAACTGATATGACAAATGCAATAACTAGAACAGGAAAACTTCGCTTCTTCTTTTCACATGTATCCATCTTGCATAAATCCAGATTTCCATCCAAACTTGCATTAAGTAAAACATTGTCAGATGTAAGTGAGAATCAATGATTATATACCAGTAACAAATAACCCAATCAGAGTGATCATGGTTAGCTTTAGAAAGTTAGCAAGATCAATATGAAATATACCGAAGAATTGTATCAGTTACTTAATTCTTTAAACTCGTACTAACATGCAAAGAAAATGGATATGTATAATCTATTTTCTGACTCCTCTTTGTTCCTTAACGTTTAATTTCAATTTATGAAAAATTAAAACAATGTTCACTTCATATGTAAGAAAAGAAGTTAGAGAAGAACCAAAGGAGTAGAATGATTGTTTAATTAACGTGCAGATAAGTTGTAATAGTTGAAGATGATAACCAAACCTCAGCTGTAACTGTCCATTGTTAGACTTTTCCTTGAGACTATAGGGAACTGCACCTGTGAGTTTATTCCTACTCAAATATCTGCAAATAGGAAAAAAAAAAAAAAAGTCACCATTCACAATGGTAATCTTTGTAAAAACTTCTTATGGTAAATACCAGAGCATGTTAACTTACAGGATCGTAAGATTTGGCAGCGGCGCAAAAGCTGCTGGCACTGCCCCTGTCAATTCATTGTTTGATAAATCCCTGTAAGAAAATGTGAAAACAATAACGAACAATCACATTTTGTAAAGAAATAGATGAAAAGAATACGCAATAGTTGGGATAAAATAGAGGTTGTTCCTCCACTGATCTGAAGTACGGACACCCATATTTTCAACCTTTGTGGAGCCAGAATCCCTATCGTTGGCTTGTAGGATTTTGTCCAGAAAAGATGCATATAGGGAGAGAGGTTATGTCTCAAGCTTATAAGGTGCATGAGCCCTCTATACACCTCTAGCTAATTTCCATATGGATTATTCGTAACATCACCTTCAGACTTCAATAAGACAATGTCCCATTATAGCACTGAGGTGCCCTCTAATTTCAAGGGTCTGAAACCAATAAACAATAGTTCTCTTCAAATAGATTTCAAGGGTCTTGAACCAATAAACAATAGTTCTCTTCAAATAGAATGATGAATGTCTGAAGTCGGTAAGAAATTCTAGCAATGACTGTCATTCCAGTGCTAGATATCTAGTAGCCATTGCCAGGGTAGTTTATTTGTATTAAAACCTGTTACAACTTGGTTATTAACACTTACAAGGATTGGATTGCTCTGAGGTTCAAGAGTGAAACAGCTATATTCCCTGATAATTGACTTGAACTTAGATTCCTGCTCACAGTTAATTGTAAATGAGTGAGACATTGAGATAATGAATGCCATATCTAAGTGGATGTTCTTCAAAAATAACTTCCAGAAAATATTCCTACAATCATACAAAATTTAAGAGGGAACTCACAGAGAGATGATCCTTGGAGGATTGTCATTGTTGCACTGCAAACCAGTCCACGTAGAAAGTGGAAAACATGGGTCTCCTTGCCAGTCAACTCTATCTATCATGTACGCTTCCTTGATGGCCATGATTGAATCAACTATGATAATTTAGGTTAAAAAGGGTGAGAAATGCATAGCTTTAGATTTATAAGAGAGAATCGCTATATACTGGGTAATGGCCTCTATATCAAAAAAAATATCGAGCCTGCATTTTTGTGACAAGAGAATAATTTTTTTATGATGAATTAAAAAAAAAAAACTATCTTAGTTAGCCATTAGGCTTTACCGTTTGTATGGTGGCTATCAAACAATTATCATTTGTATGATTTTATAAGATTCCAATTGAATTTTCAGATTATATGCCAATTGGTTTGATACATAGTCTGTATAAAGTTCTTGCAAAGATTCTTTCCAATAGACTCAAACATGTTAGCCAGGATCTTATTAGTGAGAATCAAACTGCCTTTATCATTGAACGTTAGATTGTTGATGGTTTTATGATAGCCAATAAAATGGTTCATGATTTGCCAAGCTCGAGGGGGCAAGGTATGATCTTCAAAGTGGATTTACATAAAGCTTTTCATTCTGTATCGTGGAATTCTTTTCATTCTGTATTGTGGAATTATCTTGATGAGATTATGGGATATATGGGTTTGGGGGCTAAATGGAGAAGTTTAATATATGAATGTCTCTCTACTTCTCAATTATGAGTTCTTATTAACGGGTCTCCTGCTAGAGAGTTCAAGGTCACGCGTGGAATTCGTCAAGGTGATTCGTTATCTCCATTCTTGTTGAACATTGCAGTAGAAGGGAATTCTTCAAGCTGATTCGTTATCTCCATTCTTGTTGAACATTGCAGTAGAAGGATTAGCAATCTTGTTTCACTGTGCATCAAAGGTTGATTTATTCAAAGGGCTACAATTGAGATGTGGAGAGTTTTTTACTCGCTAGCAATATGCGATGACACCTTGGTGTTCTTATCAGCCAGTCTGCAATCTTTATTCACGGTAAAGTAAATCCTCTGATGGTATGAATTATGTTCTGGTCTCAAAATAAATTTCCAGAAGATTCAGTTGTTGGAATTAATCGTGTTGAAAGCTATTGTTTAACTCTGGCAAATACTGCTTTTTTTTGACAAGAATCTTTACCTTAAGTTTACCTTTGCATGTTCTTGGGGGCTAATCCTAATAGAATATCTACCTAGAAACCTGTTATGACAAAATTTCGCAATAGGCTATTATCATGGAAAAGACAGTCACTTAGTTTTGATGGGAGAATCTGTTTGATTAAAAATATGCTTAATTCCTTACCAAATTATTTCATGTCTATAATCTTGATGCCAAAAGGGGTTTACAAATATTTTAAACTCTATTCAAAGGAGATTCCTATGGGCAGGTGTCACTAAACAACGAGCAACATACAAAGTGCAATGGAAGGTAGTTATCAGAGAATGAGAGGGGAGGTTTGAGAATAGGCTCACTTTTGGGAAAGATCAAAGCCATACTTTTTCAAATCGTTGTGGAGGCTAAGCTCAATATCTAAAGGTAAATGGCAGAAGGTGGTGTGCAAAAAATATAGACCGATCTTCAAAAATGGTCTTCTTATTTCTAGCAAGGGATTATCTTGTCTCTGGCAACATATTGTTTCTCTCTCTCAGCCGGGTTCAACCACTTCTGAAGCTCTACATGAGTGTACTAGTTATCCAATGGGTAAGGGCCTGCCATTTATGTTTCCAAGATTATATAAGGTTTCAAGTGCACCAACAACAACAATTTCAAAAATGAAATCGTGGGTGAATGGTAGTTATGTGTGGAATGCCAATTGGAGGAGAACTCCAAGAATATTTGAAATTGAGCAGGAAATATCTTTGCATCGGGTTCTTCTAGAGGTAAAGCTTCGTAATACTAAATCGGATTTGAAGGTATGGAATTTATGCACGGATGGAAAATTTACAATGCAATCTTGTACCACTTTAATTGATAGCATCGAGTGTAGTGGATCAAGCCCCTTTCAAACACAAGTTTGGAAATTCATGGCTCCTCCAAAGATTCAAAATTTTATTTGGTTAGCCATTCAAAATAAACTGTGTACAAGATCTTTCTTATATAGCTGTCTTCTTTTATCATAGGATCGGTTCTTTTGTCCATTCTATACAAATGTAATAGAGACTTCAGATCATGTGTTGATTCACTACCTCTTTGTATGGAAATTATGGACCATACTCTTTGTTAGGATATTGCCATTTTGTGGCAAAACCCCGCCACTTTGTGGAAGTACCATTAGTGCCATAATTGGTGGCATATTTTGTGGCTTTCTTGTCCCCTCCACTTGACAAGAAATGTGCTAGAGAAGCTATCTTTGATGCCTATAAAAGAGACATAATTGTAAAGAGCAAAATGAGAGAGAGAAAGTGTGGTGAGTGTATGTAAAAGAATAGAGAGAAAGAGAGAGATGCAAGGGCAGCAATGAGAGCTAAGAGTGGGTATAATCCTTCTTCTCCATGTATTTGTTTTGTGTTCTTTCTCTATCTCTAATAATATTGACTCTCCTGTGGATGTAGACGATTTGTCGAACCACATTAAATATTATGTCAGTATGCTTGGTCTTCTACGAAAAAATATCAGTACATCATTGGTCGGATTTCCTAACACTCTTTTCATGGTGGAGGATCTCTTGGTGTTTTCCAAACACACTTGATGAGCTATTGCATCGAGAGCCAATGATGATTAGAGGAAGGTATCAAAAGAAGGCATTGCAAATGCTATTTTTTGGTATACTTCGGAGTATCTGGTTAATAAAAAATAATTTGATATTTAATGATGTTAAACCAAATTTGGACTTTTACTTTTCTTTGACACTATATCGATTGATTATCTGCTTGATTAAGAAATTAAGAATCTCATTTCTCTTATATAGATAATGATCTTCATATTAGCTTTGAATGCATTTGAAGTTGGACAAACTCCAAAAGAGGTTGCCTAATGTTTTTGTATAGGACTTGTTGTTACCTATTTTTAGGTTCCACAAAATAATAATAACAATAAATACTCAAAAGAAAAAAGAAAAGAAAAATATATGAAGTAATGAGAAAAGGATGTCAGGGATAAAGGGGCTAAAAATTAGTTGAGAAAGTTTAAAAATACAAAGATTGAAATTTGACACCATATTATTAACTGATAAGAGTCTTGTTGATAAAAAAAATTCAATTTGAGGAAGAAAAGTCCAAAATCAAATGTTTATGAACTCAACTAAATTGAATTTATTGAGGGTTGTATTGCAAGAAAAATTGATTTCTTAGTCAATTTGGGCTTTAATTGGAAAAATTTAAGACTTAGGGGTCAAATTATAATTTTTAGGAGTTGATTTGGCCAAATCAAGAGTTTAATTGCATAAATATTGAAATTTGATGGTCAATTAAAGACTTGATTGAAAAAATCTGAAACCAATAACCAAATAGGAAAAGGCGCGTAAATAGAGGAAATGAAATTGACTGAATTAGAAGCTAAATTGAAGAAATTTAAAGTTTATTGATTAATTGAGGATCAAATTATATAAATCTAAAACCAATTACCAAAAGGGAAAATGCGCTGAAATTTAGGGCTTGAATTGAAGTTCTTCAGGGGTGATATTGAATAAAATTGAAAGTTTAAAACCAATCAAGAGTGTAATTAGAAATAAATCACAAATCGAAGGACTAAAGCGTAAGTGACCAAAACAGCGTCGTTGGGAAAATGACTATTCATCTTCTTCTTCAGAAGGGCTGCCCAAAGGGCCTCCTTCCCAAGATGTTTGATGTCTCATTTCTTCCTTAAATTGGATGAAGCTTACACAAAAGTGGTCACCTAACGCCTGACTATGTGCTAATGTAAATCATTCGACTTGATCGAGTCTGTAATGGCGATGGCACTACCCCAAATTAGCTAGCCCGACTAGCTATTTTCCTGCATAAAACTGACAGTTCATCATTATTATTTTAAACTGATAGTTGAGGTGCTTTCTAGTTGAATCAAGGACCAAGATTTGGCATAAGAAGAGACAAAGTGTCCCTCTTTTGTCCCTTATAAATAAATTTGATCTTTATGGCTGAAAAGGAGGAAAAAAAAAAAAAAAAGGGCCAAAATCAAAAAAAAAAAAAACCTCCCCTT